TGCTGCTGCATATAATTGTATTTTTGATGTTTTTACTTTAGAAAGGGTTTGCAAACATCTTTACTCCTTAAAAACGGGTTCGGGACGTTACAAGAGGATCCTCTGTGCCCTCAATGGTACCAGTGAGTTGACATTGGCGATGAAACCTTAATAAGATTGAGAGTAGAAATAAAATATAGGACAAAATGTGAAAACAAATATGTTTGTAAAATTTATGTGTATATAAATGTGAAATGTGAATATGTGAAAATGTAAAAATGTGAACATGTAAAATGTGATAATGTGACTATGTCTAGTTGTGAAAATGTGAATCAAATGTAGAGCGATGTGAACCAATGTGGGAGAAAATGTGCTATAAGTGAAAGTATTATAGAAAATAATCAGAATTTGTTTTTGCTTGTTTTCAAATTGGTACTTTTTTAAAAACGAAAACTTGCATTAATTTTATCTAGGTTATATGAATATATGCGTGCATAATTTTGTAATAAAATATTACCCCACACTTATTAAACAAGTGAAATTTACCTCAATTTACACTCCTCATTTCATATTAGGAAAGAATGGAAACAACTTCAAGATTAGTGGAGGACATTGAAGAAAGTTTTTAGTTTTTGTTAAACTATAATGTAAGTAGGAATTAAATTTATACATTATTGTCAATAATTATTTTGATGCATGTAATTTAGTTTAAAGTAGTTATTCCGTTATAAATAATGTGTAATAATATGTAATCTTGCTGCATAAAATTATATTTTCTTTAGTTCTACTAGTTAGAAACAACGTACAAACATTTTTGCTTCTAAAAAACGGTGCTAGGAGGTTACAAGTAAAAGACAATGTTGGGGCACAGTTACTTTTTTGCAAATGAGGTGGCGGGCAACCCTTCAAAAAAATAGAACCAAATTATATTTATTTTAACCTAACAGATGTAAACTATTGACTTCTAAGATCCATATATGTGCATATACATATATATATGTATATATATCAAAACACTAAATGAAGATTTCTTATTCTTTTGAAATAAAAAATAAATATTATGCGCTCATACTAATTGTAATTATACGTATTATAAAAATAAAAAAATTTAGATACTATCATCTATTCAAAATTTAAAATATAAAAATAAAATTGATATAATAATACAAATAATAATTATCTACTTGAATTTTTAAATAAAAGTAAGAATTTATTTTTAATTGATTATAAATTATAAACTGTATAATTTTTAATACAATAACAATTTTAATTATATACATAATAATTATTAGTTTAAAATTTGTAAATATAAAAATAAATTTACCTAAATTATGCGTTATATAATTGTTTTTTAAAATTATGGCACGACAAAACCTAGTATATTTTATAATAATATAGTTAGATTTGTATATAAAATGAATGAAATAATTAGCTTAAGACTTTTGTGCCTTTTAAGCCTTTGTTAAAAAAAAAATAGAGATGATTCAGTCACATCCTACATTACGGTTAGATTCAATTAATTAGTTTTAATTAATTACCAAAGCATGAGACTTATTGTTATGATTATTATTGTAAACTTTTAATGATGGGTCTCCTTTGAGAGTGTTTTGAGAATTAATTTTAAGTTATTTTCAGTTTTTGTGATTAAAAATTTTTGTTAATAAAAATAATTACATTGCTTGGTATAATATTTTAATAAAATATTATTAAGATATCGTACGGAATATTTATATTAGATAATACATATTTAAAACTAAAACAAATTACAACTTAATATTCTGTAATTGGAGATTTTCCAACTTTAATACATGTAGTTTATGTTTAGCAATTTTTATATTCGATATTTAATAACTAAAAAGTTGAAAATAATTGATTTAAACATATAGATGATTTGAATTTCAAATATTTTAAAAATTCGTGTTGTTGGAATTAGGACTTTCTAAAAAAATTAGTCTTCATACAAATTAAAAATTAAAAACTAAATAATAAAATATAAGATATAAATAATTAATAAAATCCAAACTTGCAAAGTTTTTGAGGATTTATGCATATAAAAATAATATATTTTTTAAAATTTTAGTCTTTTTAAGTTTTTTTTTAAATTATACGCATGTTCATAAACATCTTATATACACACAGTATGTATTAAATACAATTATATTCATTAAATTATATTAAGATAATTAAATTAAATTTGAAACTCAAGTGCATTCTTGTTCGTGATACTCTAATGAAACAGAAAACTGAAGAACCTGATGCATTAGTCATATTCTACACTTCCTAGCCGTTTGAAAAAAAATAATGTGTGGAAAAAAATTATTTCTTGATATCTTTAAAAAATTTGTTGAAATCACATGCAGTGAGATGATGAGTAGAAAGAAAGAAGAGAGAGAAAAATAAATAAAAAGGAGATGAAAATGTAAAAGGGATGTGATGAAAATTAGGAGGATAATTTTGCACTTCTAAAAATGTATATAATGATGTTGTAACAGACAGCAGATGGAAATTTCAACTTTTTAAACAAAATGTGAAATAGTTAAAATGTTAGATATATATATTTTAACTTTCTTAATAGAAATATTATTTTTTGTATTATTGGAGTACAATAAAAATAATTCAGAAAATGTAGTGTTTATATTTAATATTAAAAAAGAAAAAAGAAAAAATAAGTTATTATAAGCCTCTTTTATTTCTTAATATCAGCAATTATTATTATCATTATTTCAATAAACTAAAAATTAATTTTTTATTGAAATTAATCTTTAATTATTGTAATTTCCAAAATTCTATTTAAAACAGAATACGCACTAAATGAAAAGAATTTCTGTTTTGTGGTTACAATTTTGTAAATAATATTGTATAAAACAATTTTATAAATTTAAAGACTAAATTATAAAAAAAATTTAGTACCTAAATGTTACAACTAATTCAAAGACTAAACAATAATTTATTATATTTTAGCGTATTAGATTTATTTTTTTTCATTTTTTAAAGATTCTGTAAAATATATACAATTTTCAGATGAAAATTCTTAACTTTTCCGAAAAAGAAAATCAAGAAGCAAAATCAAATATATGGTAATATAATTTTTCTATCATTACAAAAATTAGGCTGACATAAAACATTTGTTAAAAAAATTTACAAATATAGCAATAGTAAAAAAAAGAAGATTACACCAAAATACATTATATTAAAATTTATTTACATTCAAATCATTTATTAATAGTATAGTAAAAATTTAATAGATATTAATAAATTAAAATTTTTAATGAAAATATAATAGAAAATAATAATAGTACAATATGTGAACGGGTATCTCTTATTTAGTAAATAGTACAAAATGTTGGCGCTTTTCTGAGGTGGCAGCCATGTCATCTAGCAAAGGGTGCCACGTGACGTCGAGGGAACCCAAAACGGCAACACAACAACCTCCATTTTTCGACGGGACATGCGATGACACTCTCTGGTTGAAACCGACGTTCAATTCCCAGCTGTCAGTCTTCTTCTTGCTTCTTCTACACAATCTTCTTTTCCTCCAAATTTGGGTTTTTGTTCATCCCCTTCCTCAATTTTGACGGGTCCATTTGGTTTCCTTATATTCTCTCCTCTCTGTACTACTTGAAGAATTCTTTTGCTTAGGGCTTTTTAAAATTCTCAATATTTTTTCTCTGGGTATATCTTCCCTCTCAATCATCTTCTCTCTCTTTCTCTCTCTGTAGTTATTTATTTATTTAATCTTTCGCTTTGGGTTGAAATCGACTATTTTTTCAATTTGAATTGTTTGCTCCGAGTTGATTTCTTCTGGAAGCTCAATACAACTCATTTTATTGTTTACTCAAACGGAATGAAGTTCATTATGCTTTCTTCAATAGAACACTTATTTCTTTTAATTGGAATATCATATTTTTGGCCAATTAGAAGAAAAATCATTTGATACTCTACCACCCAAATTCATGGATTGTTTGGAAAATTCTATTCAATTTCATTGAAGATTAGCTTAGGAAAGCTATCATTTGCTAATAAACTGATAATCTTCGCTTAGGAACAGTTCAGATGGCCGATTCGGAAGCAAATCATGGGGTTTCAGGGACCAGCACCGAGGACGAAACATCCCCTGATTTGTTGAAGAACACGCCATCAAACATTGCGAGGTTGGAGGATGTAATAGAGCACTCCAAGGGCCGACAGAAGTATCTTGCTGTGACTTCAAGTCCGTCAGATGGGAGCGATGTGAGGTGGTACTTTTGCAAGGTCCCATTGGCTGAAAATGGTGAGTTTTAACTCATTTTGGAACGTTTTCATGGTTTATAGATTTTTTTTCCTTCTTGTCCAAGAGAACTTCTGGTCTGTTTGATTGCAAGATGTCTTATCTGGTATATGAGATACTGTAGGGGAAGCAGGGAGCTAAACTTTCCTTTGAAGGAACGGAACTTCCATTATCTGTTTCAATGCATTTTTTTTCTTTTTTATTTGGCTTTAGTTCTGTGTTCTTTGACCGCTTAACTTAAAAGCTTTCTTTGGATCTTTGGTTTGAGAAAAAATCAATTTGATTCTTGCCTGCAAGCCATTCACGGAAGCCTTTTGAACTCAGTATTGCAAACATTTAAAGCGTAAAATGATCAGCTTTGAATATGCGTGGCCTGTCCATGGTGCTCTCTGATTTTTTTGCCTCAAGGAGAAGAGTTGATCCAGCCATTTCCCTGAAATTTAGCTGATATAGTTCAATTTCAAATTGGTTTTTATGTTAGTTTATAGGGGATAACTTGTTGGAGTATCTTGAAATACATGACGCGAATAATAGAGCCAATATTTTGCTCATCTTAGCTTGTGTAATCTTGTGGGACAAATAAGATGGTTGTTGCTTCAGCAGGTCCTTTTTTAATCTGAGATATACTCTAGGAAATCTCTTTGATAATTGTGAATGGCATCAATTTTTTTGGTCCCTGTTAGGTCTTGTTAGTTTGTGAGGATCTTAACCATACAACTTGTATTGCTTTTTAAATTTATATAGAAGACTCTTTAATTTATCTTCTTTCAGTAGCTTAAGTTATGTCTTTTACTAGATTCCTCAAAATTTCTTGATGATATTTTTGTAATTGTGTACGTCTAAAGAGCTAGCTGCTTCGGTCCCTCGCACTGAGATTGTGGGGAAGGGTGACTATTTTCGTTTTGGAATGAGAGATTCTCTTGCAATGGAGGCATCGTTCTTACAGGTACTTTTAATTTTCAATCTTGGTACATAATTCACCTTTCCTTTCTATGTGTCTAATGGATTACCTGGAAATGGTGAAAGTTTCCTTTGGAATATTAGGATAGCCTTTATCTGCCAATTCACTTTTTTTTTTTCTTTTTCTCACACCACATGATTTTGTGTATATAACATATACCTACCACAATAGTGATGTTTGATGAGAATTAATTTTAAGTGGTTCACGTCTAATTAATTTGTATATTTACAAGCTTGTAATTGAGATATATCAGTTTCCTGGATTTCTGTGTTGGGCTGTTGGGGTTGAATTGGGTTATGGCTGAGAATGTGAATAGTGAATTGTGGGCTTGGACGGGTTTGTGTAAAAAAAATAAGCATTTATTTCTAATTCCACTTACTATTTTTTAGGTTGTGTGGAAGGAAAGGAACGCGAGAGCATTTGAAGACAATGAGACTAATTTTACATATGTTAGAGATAGATGAATACATACTTTTGGATCTATTTTGTTTGGTCATGACATTAATGATTGGGAGGATCTGGGAATGGTCATGGACTATTTAATTGACTTGTAACTAGTTTATGTACTTGGGTGATACCTCCTTGGTATTTTTGTGAATAATATCTTTTCTCTTTTATTTAAAAAAAAAAAAATTCACACTTGTTTGTTGATTACGAATTTACAGAGAGAGGAAGAGCTGCTTTCTAGTTGGTGGAAAGAGTATGCAGAATGCAGCGAAGGCCCTAGGGCACGGGCCATCTCCAGTAAGGAGTCAGATATGCAATCTAATACATCTTGTTTGGAGGCTTCTCGATCAACCCAGTTATATGAAAATGAAGAAGAGAGAGTTGGTGTTCCTGTTAAGGGAGGGCTCTATGAGGTACTTTGTTTAGAATTTTCTTAATAAAAAATTCTTTGTTCAGCTCTTTATGATTTTCTAAGTAAGTTACTTATCCATGCTTTTAGGATCCTCCAAAATTTTTCTTTAATTCTTCATTCATGGGATACTTACTGAAAGTTATTTATACATGCAAATATATATATTGTATTGCAGGTAGATTTGGTCAAAAGACATTGCTTTCCTGTGTACTGGAATGGGGAAAATCGGCGTGTATTAAGAGGTCACTGGTTCGCTCGTAAGGGGGGCCTAGATTGGCTTCCACTTCGCGAAGACGTGGCCGAACAATTAGAGGCTGCATATCGGAGACAGGTTTTTTACTATTTTGATTTTATTTATCTTTTTGGGTTAGTTGAGCTAAAGTTGGGCCAGAAGTCTTCCCAGGGAAAGAAAAGGAGTTGAGGTCCCTGATGTTTATCTGACTGTTCAAAATCATTTTTGGGAATTAAACTGTTAAAATTAAAAGTTAAGAATCATTGAATTTCATGGATCTTCAGGGGCATCCCATATAATTTGTTTGCTAAATTTAATGCGTACGTGTTGCTTCTTCCTTTTACTCTTTCATTACATCTGTTGTTTGTGTCTGGGCTGACGTAGTGTGTAAGCTCATTGGGATGGAGGAAGTTGCATT